TGACTTGATGCAAATGTCTGATGTAGTCAAGCTTCTAATGACTATATTCATATTTCATGTGTCAAATATTTGCAAATTATACATTGTAATTTTATTACAAGTGTATGGTTCGTAGCCCGTTAAACGTTGTAGAATCTTGACATTATTTAGTCCATACACTACCGTGCTTACATGTGGTTGCTCTGAGAGCTTATTGCTTTCAAGATAAAACCGTTTAAACTGTTCTCTCTTTTCCTTTGAATCTGGTCAGTGATTGGTTCGATGGAGCAACCTCTATCTGGTTTATCACTTGAAGGCTCTATTAGGGTTGATGGAGAAAGTGTCAAACGTTTGAGTAGAGATGAAAACGGGTCTATTCAAGCACCTGGAGGTGGTTCTGGTGGAACAGTCCTTTTGTTCCTGCGTTATCTTATGTTAGGAGAGTCGTCTCTTCTCTCAAGTGGTGGTGGGTCTGGCAGTCCTGCTGGTAGTGGTGGCGGCGGAGGTGGGAGGATTCATTTTCATTGGTCAAACATTCCCACTGGAGACATATACCAGCCAATTGCTAGTGTAAAAGGAATAATTCATGCACGGTATGTCCTCTATATACCTCTGCATTTCCCATGATAATTAATGTGTGTTTCCCGTCATTTACTGCATTTCCCATATCCATTTATTTTTGGATATCGTTTTCCAGCCTATCACATTTACAATTTTTGTATTGTAATCGTAGAGGGGGAGCGGCAGTGGATGATGAGTTTTTGGGCAAAAATGGCACAATAACTGGGACAGATTGTCCGAAAGGACTCCATGGTATATTTTGTAAGGTTAGGAAAAAAACGGTTTAACACTTTCCTGCTCTGTCAGATCACAGGGGTGACATTTTTCTATTTGCCTTTAGTTTCCTTATCACAGTTGAATTTCTACTGTAGTTTTCGAAGCTCATTGTATTCACAATTCTATTATTTTCTTCAGGAATGCCCATCTGGTACATTCAAAAATGTTACTGGATCGGACCCTTCACTTTGTCGTCGTTGTCCTGTTGATGAGCTTCCAACTCGTGCTGTCTATGTCCCAGTTCGAGGTATAAATAGCATCCACTTATATCTTTAGCTATTGTCTATTACATATGCACTATAACTTTTTTCCTAACTTTCAGTGACAAGTTTTGTTTTCCGTTCAACTAAATAAATCGTTTCTATTCATTTTGCCACGATTCTGATTAAGTTATTCAACTACCAAGTATGTAGATTTTAACTGTGGTTGAAAATTTAAATCATGATATGGTTTTTAGTGCCTGTAAACTGGTGCTGGAAAGGCTCATGTCTCAACTATAAACCTTGGAATTTGCTACACAGGTGGTGTTTCTGAGACACCATGTCCATATCGATGCATATCGGAAAGGTATCACATGCCACACTGTTACACCGCGCTCGAGGAGTTAATTTACACATTTGGTGGGCCTTGGTTGTTTGGTCTCCTTCTGATGGGTCTCCTCATCCTCTTAGCACTTGTACTTAGTGTTGCACGGATGAAATTTGTTGGAGTTGATGATCTACCTGGCCCTGCTCCCACTCAGCATGGCTCACAAATAGATCATTCCTTCCCTTTCCTGGAATCACTAAATGAGGTTAGATGATTTTATTTGTCTGTAAACATTCGATCTAAATAATGATTTTAGTATTCGCTGATGTTTCACCCCAGATGCAAGTATTGTTTGTCCAGCAGACATGATTGAGTGAAATAACCTGCCAGACACTCCTTATATTATAGTGTTGTGCTGCTGTTTATAATGTTATTCTTTGCCAGGTGTTGGAAACAAATAGAGCTGAGCAATCTCAGAGTCATGTGCATAGAATGTATTTTATGGGTCCTAATACATTCAGTGAGCCGTGGCATCTCTCGCACATTCCCCCGGAGGAGATAAAAGAGATAGTGTTAGTTGTTTCTTATTTTATCTTCAAGCAGATTGAGAATTGTTCATATTGTTTTGTCAATAGATACTTAATAAGTGGCCTTGGCTCTGAAATATTCTTATATTGGTTTTGGGTTCTTTAGATATGAGGCTGCGTTTAACACATTTGTCGACGAAATCAACTCTATAGCTGCATATCAATGGTGGGAAGGTGCAATATATAGTATTCTTTCAGTAGTTGCATATCCACTCGCATGGTCATGGCAGCAATGGCGGCGGAAGCTGAAGTTGCAAAAATTACGTGAGTTTGTACGTTCAGAATATGACCATTCCTGTTTACGCTCCTGTCGCTCCCGAGCTTTATACGAGGGTCTGAAGGTAATTTATTGATGATTTATTTGATCCCATAGTTCCTCAACACAACAGATTTTGAGAAAATCTCATTCCCTTCAAGGTTTTGTTGTTATAAGATTTAGTATTATATATATTTTTGAATATAGGTCGCTGCAACCTCCGATTTGATGCTTGCGTATCTGGATTTCTTTCTTGGTGGGGATGAAAAAAGGATGGACCTTCCACCTCGGCTTCATCAAAGGTTTCCTATGCCCATATTGTTTGGTGGTGATGGCAGTTACATGGCTCCTTTCTCACTTCAAAATGACAACATTCTTACCAGTCTGATGAGTCAGGTTAGTGCTTTAGGTTACGTAAGCAGTTTTAGCAGTTATGTTAAAGGTTGCATTGATTCTTTGTCATTGTTTACATTTCCAGCTCGTCCCGCCCACTACTTGGTACAGACTGGTGGCTGGTGTAAATGCTCAATTACGCCTTGTTCGCCGTGGGCGTCTGAGATCAACTTTTCATTCTGTTTTGAGATGGTTAGAAACTCATGCTAATCCTGCTCTAGAGACACATTGCATACGGGTTGATCTGGCCTGGTTTCAGACTACAGCTTGCGGTTACTGCCAATATGGTCTCCTGATTCATACTCTTGAGGATTGTGAACCAACATCACCTCAGTGTGTCAGTGAAACAGCATGGACTGATATCCAACCACGGTAAATGAATGTGAAATTACATCCAATCCATTCATGGTGAAAAGCAATCTTCACGATACTGTTCTTTCTTTTAAGTGTGTTGTATTGTTTTAAGCCTAATATAAAATATGAACTGAGAAATCTAGATAAACAAGATGACCACTATTCTATCTGTTGATCACTTTAGAGTTTTAAGATTTCTTTTGTGGTGTCACATTTTAGCATGTTTTCGCTGTGCACTTCGTATCTAGTTATGCGGAATTTTGATGTCCTGTTTTTTGTAACTCCTAGGTATGGTGTGCATGCACATAAAGAAAACTCTCAAGCACATTTAAGAGAGAGTATGCTCTTCAACCAAACCCATATAAACAGTGATGATTATACAACACGCAGAAAGAACTATGGAGGGATAATCGACCTTGACAGCTTACCGAGTCTGAAAGAGAAGAGAGATATGTTTTTCCTTCTCTCTTTCTTAGTTCACAACACTAAACCAGTGGGTCACCAGGTACTTCCCAATCAAAATCCTTATGGTATGAATGTATTTAAATGCTGTGACATCCAACTTTTCTTTTCTAGAGTTATTAATGTCTCTTTCCTCTGTTATCTTTGTGATATTGCAGGATATGGTTGGCTTAGTTATCTCAATGTTACTTTTAGGAGATTTTAGTTTAGTCTTGCTCACACTGCTCCAGCTATATTCGATTTCTTTGCTGGATGTACTGTTGGCTTTGTTTATATTACCGCTCGGCTTGCTTCTACCATTCCCTGCTGGGATCAATGCCTTATTCAGCCATGGACCCAGGCGTTCTGCTGGCTTAGCACGTGTATACGCTTTGTGGAACTTCATGTCCTTAGTCAATGTGGTAAGTTTGCATTGTTGACAACCTATTTTGTGGAGAAATGCAATATGAAATTTGTGGTTCATTTCACATGAGGATGAATATATTTGTTATATCTGTGGACATTATGGGTCGATTCTTTAGATATGCGGACATGACATATCTCACGTTATCTGACAAATTTTGATTTTGTGACAGTTTGTAGCTTTCCTCTGCGGATATGTTCATTATAATAGTGAATCATCAGCCAGCAAGAAAACTCCATTTCAGCCATGGAATATAAACATGTGAGTTTTACTACTATGCAAAGTAATACTTAAAAAGAGTCTCTCTCTATGTATTCTTATGTTTTGGTCTATTGGGTTTGCGATGTTTGAGCGGTTTTGGGGATGCAGGGGTGAAAGTGAATGGTGGATATTCCCAGCAGGATTGGTCGCGTGTAAGATAATGCAGTCGCAACTCATAAATCGACATGTAGCAAACTTGGAGATACAAGACCGCTCATTGTATAGTAAGGATTTTGAGCTTTTTTGGCAGTCGTGACAAAGTCTTGTCAGGTAATTTTCCTCAGAACAACTAAAAACAGTCCTGCCCCAGTTTGGAGTGGGGATTTCAGTTTGTTTTTTTTTGTTTTGTTTGTTTCTCTTCTTGTAATTCTATTACTTCAGGTGAATAGAATTAGGGTACAAAAGAGAAGGAACGCTGATTTTTAAGCAAAAGAAAAAAAGAAAAAGAAAACAAGTTTATTTGAGGGATATAATTAGGGACAAAACCTGTAATCTAAAGATCCTGGTTGGGTTCCATGGGGTCTTGGTTTTGTTTTGGTTTTGAGTGGATGGTCGTGTTGGTTATGGGTGAAGATCCTCTTAAGGGTTGTATGTAAATAAGTGAGAAACCAAATGATCGATCTACTTGAGGCTGTGCTTATTATATCTGCCTCAGTACACTTTGAGTTGTTTTTATTTTGGTGTATATTGACAAGAAATGGATTTGGTTCTTAATCTGGTGTGTGCAGTCTTTGTACTTTCTCAAGGATTAATCAGAATGTTCAAAATCAGTGAAAAGTTGACTTTTGACTTTTAAGCTCAATGACCTCTTCATTACACATTGGTGACGACTCATTCCTTCTTCTTTCTGTCTTACTCTTCTTCCCAAATGGTTTGGCCAGAGATCTCATCTGCTTTACGTTAATTTTAAAAATGAACTTATTGAATGTAGTAAAAACACTTGAAGATCCAAAAGTATATCCTTGATAATGTTTACACAAAAATGATCGGAAGATATCCAACATAGTCGTGCTACAAAATCTATTAATACTGATGAAATAGTTACTTTGGAGTACATTTTAGTAAGGACCATGAAGATCTAAACGCGAAAATTTTAGAAAACGCATCAAACACAACCCAGAGAGAGAGAGAGAGAGAGGCTCTCATTAGTCATCAGTCAACAATCACAACCCAAAAAAGCTTTACTTGTTCATTAACGCAGACCCTGTGAACAAACCAAACAAAACCCCTCCCATAACCGCTGATGTAGAAGCTGCAACAATCCCGTGCCGCAGAGAAAGAAACCCTCCTGTAGCAGCACCTGCCATGATTGAGTTCCATGGATCTTCCTTCTTCCTGATGTACACCAGTGTGCAGTCAAATGCTGAGAACAAGCCTCCGTATGCAGCAAATCTGCCTCCCAAACGAGGAGCATTCATGTTCGCTGCTTGTGCACCTCCGACCAAACGACCACCTATTGGGGAATTGTATGCCCCTTTTATGAAATGATATACAGAACCTCCAATAGCTCCCATTCCAAATGCATAACCAATTTTATTGACTAAACCGTAAAGGCCACGATCCCGAGATTCTTTATGGGTGTCCATCAATCAATATGAATCCTCGTTGCTGCAAAACACCCTCAAAAGAGTTTGGAATTAAGAACATAAAAGAAGAAGCTGAAGGGTTGATCCCTATCGGGCTAAGACACCATTATTCAACTTTATTACAAATCAGTGAGAAGCCTGGTTGCTACATAGGAAGGTAAGAGACACAACACAGCTGGATGATTCAAAATCTTAAGAACAAACTATGAACACAACCGCATAAAAAGCTGCAAATGTGAAAAAGGGCTAAACCGCTGGATAATCTATTGGAGTAAACGAATCAGAGCTTCAACATTTCTATCAAGGATATCGGAACTTCAATTGAGCTCAGCACAAGAATCCAAATACCAGAAAATACATCAAAGGCACAAATCTAAGATGTTTCGATCAAGAGCAAACAAAACGGAGATTAAATGACACACTAACCAGGGAGAAGAAGCAGATTCTACTGACCTAAATTGGAGACGTGCGTAGCGTACTCAGAGCCCTCGAAACTGGGGTTTATGAGTCAAAAAGGTTCAACATATAAGATCCTCACTCCAAAAGTAACTTTGGGTTGTTTAATTTCAAAGGCGTAACTTTGGGTTGTTTAATTTCAAAGGCGCCCAATCTTAAAACTCGGGCTGAACACAAAATCAAATGCTATGGTGCCTGAGCTGAGGTTACAATTTTGTCGTCCATTCACAAGATTCTTGTATCAAACCGAATCAAACCGGTTTTTTTTTTTTTGTCAACAATAGTAAGTAACACTATACTTCCCAAGCTTCTGTCATCTTCGTTTGTTTGCGATTACTTCTAAGGTTGACGTGTTGTAATTGTTCATTTGTGCGACATGTATACCAAACTTTCAAATTATTATATGAATCCAACTGTCACACAGATACAACTCACACGCCCAACAAGTCTCGTCTTTCTCATTACACAAGTCGTTTAGTTTCCAAGGTTAACATAAAACCAACTACACCTTTGCTTATTTGCAACACTAGTCCCTTAGGTATTTATGTATCCATAGCCTTTGTGTGTTTTTCGTGTATGACAATGTCAATGTTCCGCTGCACCCGGATGGTAAGCTCTCCGCCTCAACTGAGATTCCCCTGATGGCTGCTGCAAATATATCCTCGTTGGATCATTAGGGTCCACGTACCTGCAAATACACACAATGACCACACGTGCGACTTTCAGAAACAACAGCTTTTTAGTACTCTATCAAAACAGAAGCTTTGATTTAGAGGGGACTTACGCATGTCTCATCATTTCATCCACAGGGGTCTGAGCGGCTTGAAGAGGATCAACTCGTGGAGCTGCCGCCGCTGCTTCTGCTGCTTGTTGCATTTGTCGATTGTATTGTCTCACTGATGATATGAGATTCAGAAAGAGAGGAACAAACGTCCCACAACCACCTTCCTTGAACAGGATCTTGAAATTGTGTGTTGAGTATAGAGCTCTATGCTCGTTTTCTGGCACCACCTGAAAATATTATTACATGCCACTAAGTATACACTAATTTCATGGCAAGGATTCAAATTGTAATTCCACATGAAAGTTTCTACTTACAGGCTCCACGTGTCCAGCAATGTTGTTGCAGTGAAATATTGGCTGATTGAATTTCTCAGCATGGATGAAAAGCTACAGAGTAACATATAGTCCATAAGCTAACATGTAGTATATAGTAACATATACTTGTAGCTAGTATAAACTGAATAAGAGAGAAGCATCAGATAAAGTTACTGTACCAGGGGCATGTCAAAAGCAACAAAGTTCTCAACAGGCTTGCTTGCAACAATGACCATCCGTATATTGGACAAGTAAATCACTCCCTTGGACTTAACCTGACCTCCATGCCCTCTGGATCAAACAAAATATAAGAACATTAGGGAAGTGTTTAACACCCACAGCTCTGAGACTTATCTAATTTACAAGTAAACTTATTGGCTCTTTTTTAGCTCAAAACCGATCCAAAACATCTAAAACGATACTATAAATTGGAAACTCACAGTAGTTATGGAATCAAACCCACAGTGAATAAAAACAAGAAAGATAAAGAGAAGGGAACACGAACCCAGGGATCTTGTTGACTTCAAACTCAACACCATCTCTGACTAGAACGAACATTTCATTAACAAAGGGAACCGGCATCCCATTGGGTAGCAATTGAGGGTTAAGCGCCATGAGCTGCAGTTCAGATTGGGTAAACGAATGATTATATAATTCCTTGTTCTGTTCTGCTTCTCTGTGTAAACCTGATCACCATGTAAGATTATTATTAATTGATCATACAAACGAGAGTGTAAACAAGTTCCAAAGACATTAGTTAACAGAAGTCAATTCCAAGGTTCGTAATCTCAACATGAAAAGTTAAACCCAGGATTCCCTTGTTCATAAATTCATGGCATAACACACGTTATGTTACAATTGCCTCTATTACTCAATTCAAATCAGCAATCGAAATTCATAGATCGAGGTAACCAGAGCCGATTGAACAAAATCAAAGCACTGGTAATAGAAACAAAACCTAGGTTAGTCCATAATAACTGACAAGACATAATCAATCATACGAAGAGAACATGTAAAATCCCTTAATTCTAAGAGAATCAAAATCTGATAGCAGCAATAAGAAACAAGCCACAGAACGACCCAAAATTTGGTAGTTTCAAGCAAGCCTGCACTATTCGCGCCGCATCTGATCAGAACGCTAGTAGAGTTTTCCGGAAAAGCAGAGAATTCGAAATTTACATACCTCTGTCGATAGCTAAAAAAAAAAATGGATTTGATCGGAGGAGAGATTGGAGAAGAAGAAGATGAAAGTTATAATAAAAGGGACGAGAGATGAGATTTAGAGCTTCTCGCTTATTCCAGAAGAGAAAGAGAGATGATCACGCGGTTTATTAAACCAAACGTGTTTTTTCTTAAAACCTTTTTAACCATTATTTACTCCCTCAACTTATTTCTTAATTTCAATTTCGCTCGCAATCAAAATTTGAGTGATTTTACCCCATTTCAACAAATTTGGTTTGAGCTTTTGATTTTAAGACAAAGTAATGAAAAGTAAGTACTTTGATGAACTCTTTTAAACGAAGTAATGAAAAAATCTATACATATTCGTTTATTTTAGCAACAGTTGAAGTTCCTTAGTTTCAGAACTTTGAGGCTATGAAGAGTACAAAAGAAATTCTAAACCAGGATAAAGCATAAGTTGATTGTGTTCTCAGTGGGGGTTGGAAATGTTTTAGACAAATAAATGATGGGAAGATTATAGTAGTAATTAGAAAATTTATTATTCATCAGCAAAATACAAAGAGAGTTCTTAAACAACATCAGAATGAAGAAGAAGAAGTAGAAATCAAACGAACAAGCAACAATAAAACTCAATACAAGCTTCAAGAAGAACTATTATTAAGGGTTCTGAATAGGAGAATCTGCAGGTGTTTCTTCAACAAAACTTTTTTTTAACGGTAGTTTCTGTAGACAGGGCTGTACATGCTGCTCTCTGCAAACTTGACCAGATCCTTTGCACGTGGGAGGTTAGACGCCAATCCTATACCACAAATACATTGATTTAGAACCTTGAGATTAGAGTTAAGACGGTCTCATTAAAAGTGTTAAGACAGTTTCATTCAACTAACCGAGGTCATAGGTTTTGGCGGCAACACTGGCTGCAATGTTAGCTGAGATCTCTCTGATGTTTGAGAATGGTGGGTAGATCAGACCGTTGGCGAAATGCTCTTCTGTGACTTGTGCTGCCAATGCTTCAGCTGTTGAAAACAGAGAGAGACAAGTTAGAGATAGTTACATTGAGAATCTTGTAAATGACTGTCACAACAACTCATCAGTATCCAAGTTTGATTTTATGGTGTTTATTTTTACTTACAAGCTGCAAGGAGCATGTCATCACGGACACGGATAGCACCGGACATGATCAAACCAAGACCCAAACCCGGGAAAATGTAGCAATTGTTTGCCTGAGTGAAGTAGGATTATGGAAATATGATGTGAGCACTCAAATTGTCACATAGAAAAATTTAAAGTTGAGAGGTAAGGAGTTGTGGAAACAGCACGAACCTGGCCAGGCAAGTAAGTTTTGCCATCGTACTCAACAGGATCAAATGGGCTTCCACTTCCAAAGATTGCACGACCCTATATTAAGCACAATATATGATTAGACATGAGAGCAGCAACAAAACCAAATTATGATTTTTTAAATAATCAGGAGTCAGACATTAATCACATTAGATGTCATATGAGACAGTATACCTTGGTCCATGTGTAAGCCTGTTCTGCGGTACACTCAGCTTGAGAAGTAGGGTTTGAAAGAGCAAGAATCAACGGTTTCTATATGCCAACACCAAGACAAGTATTAGAACAATAACATATAAACCTTGTTTTTTGAAAGAAAGCAGAAAGGAAGAACAAAAAGAAACCTCGTTGTTAGTAGCCATGGCCTCAACAACTTCCTTTGTGAAAGTTTGACCCACACCGGATGTTCCAATGAGAACAGTTGGCTTGATTGCCTGTTTGAAAAAGTATTAAAAAAAAAAAAAGAGTGAACACAAGAATAAAACATCTGACATCAAGATCCTTTATTCTCCCATCAAGAAACTTAAAGATGAGCTCATCACGTACATTGACAGCACCAATGAGGTTCTTGACAGGTTCGTGCTCATGAGCCCATGGCTGCTTGAAGTGCTGAAGAGATTCTTTTCGCGAGCTAACAATCAGTCCCTGCAAATAAAGTTGAAAAGAGATACATTAAAAACCAAGAAGGTTTATCCAACTAAAGAGAATGAGCCTGATCTGGGTGGCTCTCAACAATACCTTGGAGTCCACGAGCCAAATCTTCTTACGGGTCTCATTGATGGGAGCTCCAGTCTACAAAACAACCGAGATATGATCAATCACATATTCTTAGCAGAAAACAGAGAAAACGTAAGAAAAAAAAAACAGATTAACTAACCTCTTTTGAAATCTTAAGAGCAATTAGCTCAGCAATACCGGTTCCAGCCTTCAAAGAACCAGCGAGATAAAGTGTAAGCAGCAAAACATATATGCAAAACAAATTGATAAGCTTATAGAGTATAATGCTTCTGTCTCACCTCTCCAGCACCCAAGAACAAGAAGGTATGGTCAGCCAGGGTTTTACCAAGCACTTTCTGAGCGGCAATAAGCCCAGCAAGTACCACAGATGCAGTACCCTGCAATTACACAAAACAAAAAACAAGTTCTTGGTAAGCTCTCTCCCATCTCAACTAAAATGTAAGGAAATAGAATCAAAATCTTGAGGTAAAGAAGTTACCTGGATATCGTCATTGAAGACAAGATGGCTAGAGCTGTACTTAGACAAAAGGTCAAATGCATTGTGGTTTGCAAAATCTTCAAACTGAAAAGAAGAGTATGTATGATATTATTCCGGGACATCTTAAGAAAAAGAATAACTCTAACAAAATCCGTAGTGTTTAAGAGAGTTGTATCCCATGGCTCACCTGTACCAACACTTTCTCTCCATAGTTCTGCTTGACAGCGCACATGAACTCGTGAAGAAAATCTGCATATTCCTGAAAACAAAAAAGCAAACAGACTAGTCAGTTTTTGAAAAAAAAAGACCATTGCATTAGTTATAAGAAGGGAAAGAAATAATATGAAAAAGATTAGTAAACCTGGCCAGTTGCCCTTCGTTGTTTAAGGCCGATGTAGAATTCATCATTCAGCAACTTCTCATTGTTTGTACCAACATCAATGGTGATTGGAAGACACTGCATTTGAAAGCGGATTTGCACTTAGGATCAAACTATTGTCATTGAATAATCAATCAAGTATAACTAATTTCTAGGCAAATATATTGAAGCCTTTGTTCTAGTGCTTACAGCTGATGGACGGATTCCTCCCAAAGCTGTGTAAAGAGATAGTTTGCCCACTGGAATTCCCATTCCCTGGAAACGTTAACAATAAATGATAAATACAGGTCCTCAGCATAACATGGGAATAAGTTTCAAGTGTCTAACTCAAGGACCAATTTTATTACCTGGCAACCAAGATCTCCCAGACCGAGAATACGCTCACCATCAGTAACAACGATAACTTGGATCCCTCTCTGGGGCCAGTTCTTCAACACTTCAAGAATCTTGCCCCTAAAGGAACATACATTCCAATTTAGTGTTTCAGAGAAACAAAATGGAAAGTGACCTGGTAAACAAGATTTTAAACACATACTTCTCTTTCAAACTGATGTAGAGACCCTGTGGCTTCCTGAAAATGCTCCCATACTTCTGGCAAGCCTCACCAACTGTTGGTGTGTACACAACTGGTAGCAACTCCTCAACGTTATCAATCAAAAGCTTATAGAACAACCTCTCGTTCCTTTCCTGCAAGACTCAGATACATAAGTTACCATTTCATAAGAAAAACTAACGGCCGTATTCTCTACTATGGTTTCTAAGAACAATCACTGACCTGAAGATCCATGAGGGCCATGTAACGCTGTAGAGGAACAGTGTACTGACGGAGATTGTGCATAAGCTTTCTCTCCTAATAAATGAACCGCAAATCACAAGTTAACAACACAAAGAAACCCAAATCAAAACAGAACAAAAAGTGAGCTCATTTTCCAAGTCACCTGAACATCCTGACTCAAAACCACAGGGGGAAGAAGACCAGTTAAGTAATGAGCATCTCTTTCTTTATCAGTGAATGCAAGTCCCTTGTTGTAACGCGGATCACGCATCAACGAGTAACCACTACAAAAAAAAAAACATTTCAATCCACTATAAAGCTCCACAGGAAAAAAAAAACTGGAACTTCAACGACAAGAAAAAACTAAAGTTCATATTTCACAGAAATTTTCTTGGCTTTTAAGTTTATAAACTAAATAAACAAAAAAAGCTAACTTTACTTGCAAACAGCTTTACTAAGCTACGAAACTGTGAAAGATCAAAGTAAAACAAAAAGGGTATGAAATCTAAAGGAGCGTTGACTAACCTAGCGACGGAGGTAACCCAGGGAGTGACGAGCTGGTCCAAGGTGGCGGAATCCTCACCGTAGACATCAGAGATACCACCGCCAACGCCGGATCTGTTATCGGCGACATCCTCACAAGGTAACTCAGCCGGAGTACTTCCCATATCTATCTTCCGAGCTAAACACAACAACAATCAAGAAACAGAGGAAACAGAGGAAACAGAGAAGTAGATTGAAGAGAGTTGTTGAATGATGGATGAGAGCTTAGAAGATATTTTCTTAGGTGAATGATGATGGAAACACAGAAGTGGAGGATAGTGGAATTATATAGGCCAGAGAAAGAGGAAAACGAAAGAAACAGTTTGAAAATGCAAAAAAAGTCTGAAAATTGGAGCTAATTGACAAATCGAGAAGAAGAACGTGGACTGAGTCACCCTCTCTCGTGTAGGTCCTCTCTTCATCCATTACCTCTCTTTTTTTTTTTTTTACCTTATACTATTATTGTCTTTTTATATATAAAAAACATTGTTAAATAAAACGATTTTCACATTCTAAAAAATTGCAGTACTACAATACCAATTGTATGTTTTTTCCCCCCTAAACAGTTTCACCAAGTTGATGGATAAATAATAAAAATTCATCAGCCAGCAAGTAAGTGTTGTGTATTTCTTGTTTTTGGTGTCGTTTTAGTCTTTTTTTTAATGAAGAAATAAATAATAGATTAGAAGATAAAACAGGAATATGAGTGTTAAATTAGATAACCAATTGAAAAAGAACAAGAGTCAAAATTGCTGAATTGTTAATTACCCCCATTCTTTAGTAATAGATTAATTACTAATAATACATGGATATAATTAGGCATGACCAAAAGCTAACCTTAACCGTATTTTTAACCGTAACCGGATCGTTTATCAACCGTAACCGGACCGTAACCGTATAAAACGGTTAAAAATTGTAACCGTTAACCGTAAAAGTAAATTAGTTACGGTTAAAAAATAATAATAACCGTAACCGTTAATTAACCGTAACCATAATTAACCGTAATTAATCGTCGGTTAACCGTACGGTTAAACGCTCGGTTAACCGCATATTTAAAATTTTAAAATAAATTATATTATAACTGTATACAATACCCAGATTTAACTAATTCACTATAAATAATTGAAATCAAATATGTTTTTTACTTGTAAAATAAATAATATTTCATAAAATTTTATCTCCAATATTAATATTATAATAATCATCAAATAACCGTAACCGTATTTAACCGTAACCGTAATTAACCGTAACCGTATATAACCGTAACCGTCTTAACCGTATATATAATGATTAAGGTTATGGTTAAAAAATTATAACCGTTAACCGGTGGTTAATTAACCATAACCGCATTAACCGTAACCGTGGTCATGCCTAGTAATGATGTTAAAAAAGAAAAAAAATTGTGATGATAAAATTAAAAATATATAATAATAATTGTATACAGTGAGAAAATAAAAAAGGAAAGACAATAATTGTATTTTGAGGCTGCGGGGACGTGTCTCTGAGGATCAAACTTGGCAGCCGAGATTGAACGATTGATCCTCTCACAACTTGAATATACGTTATTATATGTCAACATGTTATTATTTATCTTTTTTTCTTTACAATTATTTTACAGAACAAAAAAGTGAGGATTATCATCAAATACATTATTACAAAGAAAAAAGAAAGAAAAAAAAAACCCACCTCAGATAGGTACCGAAGTGTCATTATAGTGCCTTTAACTATATAAGGAATATTTAGTCTACTAATGATTTTTAATTAAACGATCATGGATATGGATTGCGACTACAACTAGTGCCTTAATTAATCAAATTCATGACGAACAAAAAAATAATCAATTCATATAACTCGTAACGACATACGTCCTGATGTAATGTATGTTTTAAAATAAGCTTTTTGCAATTTTTAAATAGTTTGCATATTTCACCAATATTTTTTTAGCTTCTCGTCTCTTATTGTTTCCACTTACTTTTCCATTGACCAATGTTTACTTTTCCCCTCGGCCATTACTATTTTTTCGTGTTCATACAAAATTAAACTGAAACGGACCAGGAGATCTCACAACAAGACGCGTTTTATTAGTCGATAAAAGCTCATATCTATTCTAGAACATATACAAGGAATCGATTCCAAAATGTTGCACTTTTTTTATTTATCACCTACTCCAATATTTGTCAAAGTAATTACTTTCCTTTATGTTTCATTTTGTTGACCCTTTAATTTCTCGTTTTTCACTTCTATAAAAAGTCAAAAGGCTCGCTGTTGTGTGCATAATATATAAGCTGGTAAGCAATTTAATTGAACACATTATGTATATACACATATTGTTGTCTCTTCTGAGACATTTGCTTTCACACATTCTCCTCGCATCATATATTCACATGCCTTACGTTTACAAGTATTACCATGAGACGCTTCATGCAAAAACCTTTAAGAATGAATCTCCAATATTATTGATGAAAAAAAAAATGAATCTCCAATATTATTCAGTTAAAAACAGTTTGTTGAACATTCAAAGAAATCTTAACAACAAAAACAGTTTGTATAAAATTTATGCTATTTTAATACTTTTGATATAAAAGCAACTCATTTATCACTAAACTACACCATTCTGAATTATATCTCTTTCTGGTCACTTAAATTTTTAATTAAAAGATATTAATTCATTGTAATTTTCCTTCATGATAAAGTTAACACATAAATTAATCTGCAGATTTTTCATAATTTCTTTGTTATTATTCAAGTTCTGTTTTTAAAAAATATTTTCTTGTGTAATTATTGAACTTTATATATATATATATACTTTCCAAAAATTTATTGGTAACAAATCCGAAATAATAATTATGGTCAAAATAAAATCTTGGGGTATTAAATTGAGAATTTTTTAAAGTCACAATAATCATATAAATATAGCTTATTCTAAAGAACTATAAAGCTATAGAACATATTTTTCATCCCAACAGAAAGAAAACTAAAAGATCATATATAATGAGTATCACAAAAGTCTCTGTCACTTTTTTTCTTGTCATAATATTGACAATTTCGTTATCTGGCAACAATGTTTTAGCCGCTTCAGGTATGATATTTTTATAAGAATGTTTTTATGAGAAGAATTTTCTCATATATTAATATTATTATGTAACTATTTTTGATAATTTTATGATCAAGGGTAAATATTTTACTTTTTCAAAATATATAATCGAGAATAGCTATTATATATATATACTTAAAGGTACCATTTGTACATGTTTTAAGATTTATTTAGAAAAAATTGTGTATAAATGCAAAATATATTAAACATATCTAATTTTTTGGTGGGTTGTATGTGTAGGACCGAACTGTTTTGCTAAGTGTGCTGAAGGATACTATGAAGATTATGAATGCATCCTTGATTGTAGACAGAAAGGATATGATTATGGAGGTTGTGTTCCAAATCAGATATCTGGAAAATGTTGTTGTACTAGAAAATAAAAGGGGGTTTTGATTTTAAAGAATGTTTTTTTAAAAATTTGTCCTTTTATGCTTTCTGCGGTAAATTGTCAGTTATACCTAAATTACCCTTTTAAATAAATAAAATTAATTTTTAATTAATTTTTAAATTAAAACATATCAACAATTAAAGATTAATAAGATTTAATGTTAAACAAAAGAGTTTTGGATGAAAGTATGTTGATTTTGATATTGAAAAAATCATTCTGCAATATTTAGAATAC